TTCTACCTCTACCTCTGATGGTTTGGTTGGCCTGAGGAGCTTCCTGGCTATGTCAAGAGTGAGACTATGTCTTAGATCCAACCATGCAGTAATGAGACTGGTTCTGGCAAAGAAGGGGGTCAAAAGTCTACCCAATGCATCAGCTCCAAGATGTTTTATTTAAGCACAAGCCCAAGGCCACTGGTGGCCATGAAGAGCCTTTCCCTCTTCTCTGGACAAAGCTTGCCTGATATGAAGAAACTCAGAGTATCGCTAACCCAAAGGGTGGAGAGAAGCAGTTCAGCTGATGGCATCTGAGCCCCTGGTTCTAGGTCTTCTTGACCTTGTCAATCCTGGACAGTTTAGTTGTAAGAGTTTATGAAGAAGAAGGAAGGAGAGGAAGGAGAAAGAGAGGAGGAGGAAGAAGAAAAGTCATTTCAAGTCAGTGTGACTTGAGTGTCAATCACTTGCAAATAATAATCTTGCCAGCTCTCTGACCTGTAAGGCTAGGTTATGGAAGGCTGTGGAGCTTCCACTTTGCTTAATGGAATACTGCCTTGGAATCCTGAGTCATATGCAAGAGTACTGATACCTTGAGGTCACCATGATGGAAAGACTACAGAAAGGTGCTCCAACCACTACCCAGCTGAGTCAGTCTTCCAGTCACCCATTCCAAGGCATCAAGACATGTAACTGAAGTTGTCTCAAGTCCTCTAGGCCAGCACATCCACCAGCTGAATGCCACCAAGAAATCTCAGTCAACAATATGTGTTGCAAAAGATAACCTATTTATGCCTTAGCCAAATTCCAGACCCATAGAACCATAAAGTAAAATTTATGGTTTGATTTAAGCCATTACATTTTGGGGCCAATTGTTATGCAACAATAGGAGCAAGTAGAAAGAGACCATCACACAAGAGTGTGAACTAGCCAGGCATCAGTGGCTCATGCCTGTAATCCTAACTACTTGGGAGGCTGAGATTAGGAGGATCACAGCTTTTGAGGCCACCCCAGGCAAACAGAGAATCAAGAATGAGACCCTACCTCCAAAATAACCAGAACAAAATAGACTGGAGGCTCAAGTGGTACAGTGAGAAGCCCTAAGTTCAAACATCACCCTCCCAAAAACCAGTAAGAACTAAATTGGGCAATGTAGGTTGTGTTCAGTGGAACACAAAGCTTTATGAAAAAGAAGTTACTTGACCACATGCACAAACTACAAAACCTTGAGAAGGACTCATGCAGGAGAGGAGCCCTGAAATTTGAGTTTCATTGGTGTCATTAAAAAGTCCAGAGACAGGCTGCCCAGGGTCCTGCCTCAGAACAATCCTTTACAGGATGCAAAATTTTAAGAGAATGATTTTAAGAGACCAGTCCTCGACATGAATAGTGAGAGACAGAGCCTCAACATCTGGGGGCTCAATACACCTCCCAGGCTGGTGGCCTCACTAAAGGTATTCTTGCCCTATGGCAGGACTGGGGGATGTGCTGGGCCACCTCATCTCCCACCCCTAAGACCCTGCTGTGGTCCAAATACTAACTCTACCTTTGATGTCCACACCTAGAGGCCCTGTAAGTCCTTCAAAGTCTGCGTGCTGAGTACTGACCTTTTCCTCCTCACTCTGCAATCCTGCCTCTGCTCCAGGGGCTCATACCTCAAGTGCCATTCCTGGCCCAGACACCTGGGGATCAGCCATAAGATGTCCCCTCTCTTACTAGCTTCATTGACCAGCAGTGGGGAGTCTGTCTCCCAGCAGATTCTTCTTACTCCCAGTGATCACTTTTCAGCATTACCATTTCTTGTGGCTCCTCCTCAGAGGAGTTCAGCCTTACTCCTAATAATCTACCAAATCCAAATGCAAATCTCACTAGGTGATGCTGCCAAAAGTTCTCAATACCCTCACTCGGAAACCCAGGCTCCTCACGCTGGCACTCCAGGTTCTCTCTGATCAGATTTCTGACCTCTGTCCAATCTCAACAGCCGGTTCAGGTTCAGTCTCCTCACTTCCTCACCAACTTCCTACCATAGGCTGCTGTGCTGCCCTTCACTGGCCCCTCAGGACTCAGCTGCCCCTTCATCTCCTCTCAGAGGCACACTTTCCCGTGTGGCTCTGTGGTCCCTTGCTCCAGGCAGAGTGTGTTCCATAACCTTCTACACTCAGAATTTACAAGCCCAACTTGCTCCAGTCACTCAATCTCTCTGAGCTGTTTACTTTTCTGTTAAATGGGACAACAATACTCACACCAAAGGAAATGAGAATGTAATAGAGATCACCTTGTGAGCAAGCACTGGGTGAAGAGTTTGTTACACATTATTTCATTGAATCTTCACAGTGCCTAGAGAGACAGACCTGCTATTTAGCGCCATTTAATGGAGGAGGAAGCCAGGTTAAGCACCTGCCTTTGCCTGGGGCAGGCTCATTCAGTGCCTCCTCCCCTGTTCACTAGTGGCCACTGCATCCCCAACACACTGAGAGGGCAGGGATGGCACCTGTCATGCACTTGTGTATTTTGAGGTCCTGGAACTGGGTCTGGCATACAGTAAGTGCATACTTTGTAAATATTTACCGACTGAAGTAATCCATAAATGAATAACCCTAGCCAGTGGCAGATCTGGCTCTCAGCTCTTGTTTTTTTCCCAACATTTTGAACAGAGAATCCTGCTGGGGAACATGGTTAGCACAGGACCTGGCACACAGTAGGCATTTATTAGCCTGCTGTGGTGGTGGTTGTAGTGGTGGAAAAGGAGGAGGAGAGGAGAACTTAAAAAAAGAAATCACTTCCCTGATTATCTCTCGACAACTGGAGCTTTCTGCAGCTGTCCAAATCTTTGTCCTTCCTAGTGCCAGGCCAGGATGGCTCCAGCTGGCTTTGGGGAGAATTTGGGAATAAACGTGGTCAAAGAAGGAAGTCCGTTTTCCCCTTCCCCTCTGGGAGAAAAAGAGGTTCTGCTGGCCCAGCTGCCCTCTCTCTCAGACAGGCTGCCCCCCCCCCCCCGCCGCGCACCCGGACCCAGGTACCCCTGGCTCCTCATCAGGGCATAACCCAGCTGCTGTCACACTGCAGTCCCCTCCAGCTGCCACTGAAGCTCCCAGGAGCAGAGACAGGACTATTTGCTTGTTCACCACCGTCCATCCCCTCTGCCACCTAGCTCTGATTAGGGCTCCTCAGGGCCTGGATGAGCAGCCCTGGGCCTTTCATTGCCAATTTCTGCACCTCTCTTCCTGACTGCCAAGCCAGTAATGGGTCAGGGACTTGCAGGGGGCCCTGGACTTAGCCAGGTGTCAAGGGCTGCGACTGACTGCTCTGGACTGCCAAGCAAGGGCTGAGCCAAGAGATGGGCTGGACCAGATAGGAGCCCCAGTACCCATCAGTTGAACTCTGACAGCTCAGGAACCACCCCTGAGCTCTACAGAAGATGCTGGCAGCCCCAAGCAGAGGGTACCAGCTATCTGGGCTATCTGGGCCTTCCTGCAAACCACTTCTCTCTGGACCACATATGTAGGAACACAGGAGAGATGTTTCCACATATCTCCCACAGCCCGGCAGAGATCATCTCATGAAAGTCATGAGAGGAGTGGAAGTCCCACTGGGGCGGAGGAGCTGAGATGTGGACAGTAGGACAAGTCCTCTGTCGCTCTGGACCTCATTTTCCTCCTGTTTAAAATGGGGCCGGTAAAACTCACTGGATTCTCCCCGGTTTGCTGTGAGTACGAATGAAAATAATAATCTGGAAATCCGCGAAGCTCCAGAAGTTTTGAGAATGAATTTGGCTGGCCCACCATCCGCCCCCACGGGTTTGGCCTGAACACCTGCAGGAAATGAGAAGTCTCAGGGAACCCAGGGTGGGTCCCTCCTCGAAACCAAGAGATCTAGACCGATCTTGGTTTCAATCCGGTGCTGTGGGGGATGCGGCGGTGTAACCTCCTGGATAAGCGAGGGCAGAATGACTTGGAAAACTGGAGTTGGGGTAGGATGTGGGAGGCTTGAGAGGGCACAGCAGCCAAAGGCGAGAAAGTCCACCTTTCCAGAAGGTCCTGCGTACTTTCTCCCGCCTTCCTTTCTTCATCCTAACTCTCCCCTCTTTCCTTTCTAATCTTTCCGTTTTTCCTTTAGTGTCTTCTTTCCTTTTCTCGCCACATCTCTCCTCCTGCCCGCATCTTTCTTCTCTCCCTCCTTCTCCTCCCCCCACTTCCATTTCTTCGTCACTCTCACACTTTATAACCAAACAGCCAAACCCCTTTCCAATTAAAGTGGAATTAGGCAACTCAATCAAATTAGTTCCCTATTAAAGCCCTTCTTTATTAAACCGTTTTCTTGTCCTGCTATTAAGTTTCACCGCCTGGCGGAACTCGAGCGGGCCCCAGAAGTTTACCTTGGGATGTCGCCGGCCCAGCCTAGGGGTTGGGGGCACCCTATTTCCTGGAGAGGGGGAAGGAGCCTGCAGAGGGCGGGAGGGATGGGAGCTGGAGGTCCGCCCGGGACCCGCTAATTTACTCAACTTAGCTAGAGAAGGGAAGGTAGAAAGGGTGCGCAATGACGTCCAGCCCGAAGACGCGTCCTCGGGAGCCACTCTCATTACACTGCTTCGGGCGAAGGCATGATCCCATTCCACCCCCAAATCACTCCCACGCCGCAGCCCATCACCCCCCACCCCAAACCGCCACCGCCGCGGCGGTAGGTTCCAAACCTAATTCAGGCACGCACTGTACCCACTTGGGTTGCACCCAAATCTGCGGGTAGTGCGCTCCCAGCGTCATAGGTCCCTGGGAAGCCTCGGTCTCAGGTCCAGTACCGAGCGCGGGGTTGCTGAGGGTACACAGGCACGCGGGAGTTCAGAACCGCGCGCGCCACCCCGCCGGGATGAGCTCCCCCACGTCGCCCCGGGAAAGCCTCCTCTCCGTGCACACGGAGTCTTGGCCGGACCTCCGTCCAGCGTCTTCCAGGCACCCCGGCCCCGGCGGAAAATCAAGACCTTTCCTCCCGCCGCCTGAGAAGCGGGACGGTATTCCAGCGTTGTTTTTTCTTAGAAAATAACATTTATTTCTAGTTCATACCTATGCAAAGGAAAGCACAAAGTGAGTTCTCTGCAGCAGCGTCTCGCTGCGGGCCCCGCGACCAGGGCGATTGGCGATCCCGGGAGGATGGGCCTGCGAGCGGGCGCTTCGGCTCAGTCACGCGTCGCTCTGTTACTGCTTCAGGGCGCACCTTGACCGCTCAGTAGAGAGAGAAGGACCGCAGGCAGGGTCGGATGGGCAGGATTCCTCCCGAGTTTACTTTATATTTAATCTATAAAACCTGGTAAGTACAATGCGCAAATAGTCTAATTTTTTTCCATTTTGTCTTTTTTTTTTGCTTGTTTTTGAATGTTTTTCACGTTAATACCGAGGTCACCTACAGATTACAATTAATAACTTAGAATTTCATTTTATAACATTATACACTGGCTTGTATATATATATGTATAGATTATATATAGATTTATACATATATAAAAACTCACACTGCACCAAGGAAACCCATGCTTTTCGGCATAAGCAACAAAGAGAGCGACAAATACCTCAACGAAGAAAGTGCACCTTAGAACTTGTTTCCTTTTTTTTTTTTTTTTACAGTTGATATCGATATATATGTGTGTCCCAAAGACTCGACTCAGTGCCAAGAGATGTATGCATCCTAAATTTATATTTGTTAGAGCGTATATTTTAAAAAAAAATTAAAGGGGGACTGGAGACACAGAAGGGACTCTCAATTATCCTGCCATCGGACTGAGAGCTCGGGCTGGCGGGAGGAGCGTAGCTAAACGAGCAGCAGGAGCCGGCACGGTAGCGGCCCTCGGAATTCTCAGGAATCCCGGCCTTTTGAAAAAATGGGCTGAGCCTTGGGGAGGTGGCCCAAGGCACGATGAAGATCCAGACCTCTCACCCCTTCCGAGAACACCTGCACCGGGAGCTCAACACTCACCACCCACCTCTAAAACAAAACCGAAAAACCATCTCGGGGCGGGAGGACGCCAGTCAGGGCGCAGAGAGCGCGCCGGACAAAGAGAGCCCGGCGGCCTGGGGAAAAGGTCGGGATTAATGCTCGGGGCCGCCGGTTCTTGGGGCCTCTCGCCCTACTGCTTCTCCGGGGCGCCGTTGACCATAGGCCCGTACAGGCCGCCTCCATAGGTCGGCTCCTTGTGCACAGCCGCGGCCGCAGCAGCCGAGCGGTCGCGCATGAGATCGCTGAAAGCGTAGTCCATGGGCGGGCGGAAACCGAGCGTGGGCACCAGGCCCGCGGTGGAGTAGGGCGCCATGAAGGCCAGGCCCCGGCTGTGCGCCGCCGCCGCTGAGTAGGCCAGGCGCAGCGGGCTGAGGCCCAGCGGCGCGCCCAGCGGGTAGGCGCCCGCCTCAGCGCCGAAGTGACTGGCATTGGGCTGCAGTGGCGAGAAGGCCGAGCGACTGCTCAGAGAGCCCAGCGCCCCGGGCGCCATAGCGCCGGCCAGCAAGGGTCTGTGGTGCGGGGGTGCGGCGGGCCCCGCTTGCAGTGGGGAGGGCAGACCGGGGCCTCCGGCGGCCGCGGCGTCGACGCGGCCCGGCCACGCGTCGTCCGCGGCTGCGGCCGCGCCCACTGCAGCCTTATCCGGGGACACAGTGGGGCCCAGGCCAGCCGCCAGGCCTCCGCGGTGGTGGTTCAGCACCTGCTCGATAGCCTGCACCACGTCGCCGCCGCAGCCCTGCAACACCAGCTCCAGGACGCCTCGTCTGTGGCCCGGGAAGACGCGCGTCAAGATGTCCAGCGGCGTCCGCTGCCGTGGACCGGGGCCTCCGCCCAGCCCTGGAGCTGGCGCGGCCTCCGCCTCTTCTTTGTCAGCCTCGGAACCAGATTCCGAGCCCAGAGGGCTGGCGGAGCCTGGGCTGTCCTCCTCGCCTCCGCCGCCACCACCAGGGCCCGCGCTACCCGGGCAGCTGCCACCTGCCTCCTTGGAGGCCCGGGCCAGAGGCGACCCCGAAAAGGATTCGCCGTCGCCGTTCTCCGAACCTGAGCCGGGTCGCACCTCCGGGGATGACGTCCCGGGACCCGAGTCCGCGCCGTCGGGCGATAAGGGCTTCACTGGCTGCGGCTGCGGGCTGCCTGGGCGGCCGGCCTGAAGCAGCGTCTTGGGAAACAGGTCAAACTTCTGCAACTTGGCCTCTGAGCGGGGAGAGAATAGGGATGTGAGGAGCGATTGAGAAGGGCGCCACCACAGCATCTCAGCCCTTCGGGTCCCAGCTTTCTCTCATTCTGAGCCCCAAGCCCTCATTCACCGGCCCCACTGCCCCATGTTCTGAAGACAGCCCCAGCTCTCTTCCCTGCACCCAGGGCTCGCTCTCTTTCTGTACCCAGAACCCAAACCACTTGCGCCCTGTAAACAATGTTCAGTGCTCTCTTCTCACATCTATGCCGCAACACCTCCACCCTTAACCTACTTCCCAGTCCTGCCCTGCCCAGGGTTCAAACAGGAGCCACCATAACCTCTACCCCTACTTCAAACTGTGTAGAAGATTCCAAGAGCCAACCCTGCCCTAGGAAACCTGTAAAGGCGTCTTGGGTGTCTTGGGGGTTTCCAGCCTCTCAAGAACTAGAGGTCCTATTTCTAACTCGCTCTTTCCAAAATCAAGACCTAAGAAATTCTCCCCTCCCAGGCTGAGAGCTGAACTGTTCCATGGCCCCAGTCTAATTTCCATCCTCATTGAAAAAGCTTCAAAAGTCCAGAAGAAGAGGGTGGGTCCAGGGAGGAATAAACAGAAAAATACAAAAGAGATCGAGGAAAGAGAGAGAGAGGGTATACCCTAAGAAAACCCGGACGGGACGCGTGGGAGAAAAAAGCTAGAAAGAGGGGGCGCAGTGTGCGGTTGTCCAGGGAGCGTTAGGAACACAAGGAATCACACTGGTGCGTCTTTGGTACCTAGGGAAAGCAATGCAGGCAGGGGAGGTAGGGGGTCGGATTTCTGCAAAACCTTGGGAAGGAGGTGAGGAAAAGGTAACATGCGGAGAAGCACAAAGCAAAGGAAAAGAGGCGCGGATTTCCGCCCGCCTGAGGAGAAGGCAGGGCGAAGTGAGTGGGAACCTAAAGAGACCTGTCCCCAACCCTCGGGTCTGGGAAGAGGAAGAGATTAAAACATGTACGTCTGGGTCCCCGGTGAGAGAAAAGAATAGAGTGCAAGTACTCCAGAAAGGAAAGTTTATAAATCTTTATCCCATATAGGAACTGCGTGCGCGAAGAACTCCAGCAGTTCTTTGGGGGCATTTGGAAAGTGGGCTGTGCTCTGTCCGTACGGAAACAAGTCGCTAGGCCGCGCTCACCAGCGCTCAGCGACCCTGCTCCTCTTGTCCACCACCCCCCACCTCGCCCCGCCTGACCGCGCTCTCACCTGCGCCCCCTGCACCCGCGGCGCCACCTCCGGTCCCCGCGGGCGCTCCAGCTCCCGGCCCCCCGCCGTCGGCGGCGCACACTGAGCCAAAGACCTCATAGGCGGGCCGTGGTGGGATGATGCCGTTGGCAGCGGCCAGCGCCAGACCCTCTGCAGTGCCGTAGAGAAGTTGCAGCTCCCGCGCCTCGTTCTCCTCCTGCGCCTGCTGCCTGCGCAACGCCACCTGGGCCGCCATGACGCGCTGGCGCTCGGCGATGAGCGTGCACTTGGCGCACAGGCAGTCCTTCCAGCGACAGTAGCGCTTGTGGCCCTTGAGCGCAGACACCACGCCGTGGTTACGGCAACGCGCGCACTTGGGGGTCCGAGGGTACTTCTCTGCTGCCCGCAACAGCAGCGGCGGCGCCCGCAGCAAACCTCCGGCCACACTCACCGGAAGAGACGCGGCGGCGGCCGCGGCCGCGGCCACCGACGCCACTGACGCTACAGGCGGCCCTGTCGCTGTCGCCGCCCCTGTCGCCGCGCCGGGCACGCTAGGCAGCTCCGAGCGCAGCTCCATGGCAGGACCTGGCGTGGAAGAAGGTGGGAAAGGGGGGAGAGACTTGCGTGAGGCGAGCACTGTGCACTTGGCTTAAGTGCAGCTTCGAGGAACTTAAGTTTAGGGAGGGGAAGTTTGGCCACAAGTTTGGCTAGTGGTTGCCAAATTGCTGGGAAGAGGTGCATTTGGACCCTCCCTGTAAATCCAAGCTCTCCCACCGCACTCCCATTCCAGCTGCTCTTATATCTGATGTATATGCCCGGTGTAAGATTTTGTTTGAATCAGTGGTTCCTCTGGAAAAAATAAAAAGACATAGAAAGTTTGGAAGTCACTGGTTCAGATGGCTGTAAGGAGAGTTTGAAAAAGAAAATATTCTCCCCCAAAAGCTTAGGTTAATTGGGGTGATTCAGGAAGAAAGAAATGTTTGTATGAATGGGAGAAAATTTTGGACAAATAGACTGATGCCAAACGCAAAACAGGAAAACCCGGAACAAAATGTTCCGTTTGGTGGAAGAATGAAGAGAACAGACCTGTCTAGGTGCAGGGTTGAGCAGGCTGGGCCAGGGTTTTGTTTTTTGTTTTTAATATGGCGGGAGCAGGAGAGTTAGAAAAAGTGAAGAACAGAATTGCTTTCTATTAAAAGTAGAGTGCGGGCAAAGAAACTCCGGAGCAAAGTTAGGCCTGTAGCCCTTGGACCTGTAAAAAACGTCAGCTTCCGCGGTGCAGGCCTCCAGATAGTGGGAAAGAAAATGGGCGTGGAGCTGAGTTTAGGAGGTTTGGGAAGGATTCAAGAGAAAATTCGGCGGAAGAAACTGTCTTTGGATAGCCCAAGACTAGTTTGAAGAGCAAGGAAGACATCCAGAAACGACTGATAAGGTGACCAGGACCCAGGGTCCGCGAGTCGGACCCCGGAGTACGTAAGAAAGGTTCTCAAGGCATAGGCTAAGAATGGGGATAGGGTAAAACTCGTGGCACGGTTTTTAGCCTCTTAGCCAGGTGAAGTAGTCGGAGAGAAAGAAGTAATCCATGAAAAGTTAGGCAATGCTGGAGGAGGTTCTTTTCGTTGACCACCTTGCATTTCCCTCTCCACCCCTGTCTAAGTCATCAGACACGCCCTCCTTATTCTGGGGTCCCTTGGGACCCCGCTTCAGCGCAGGTTCCTGCGGTCTGGTCTTCAATTTGGGATTCTGGGATTTGAATGGCCTGGCAGGCCGCAGTGACGCAGGGGAGTCACCTCTGGAACTGGCCATGAACAGGCACGGGAGTCCCACCTGCGCCGCGGTCCCAGAAGGCCCAAGCAAGGCCCAGTTCCTAGCGTCCACCGCATCCTCCTCTGCCCGACACCCCGCCCCCGTCCCCTCCAGAGCCCAGGACCGAATCCCGGTGTCTCAGTACAAAATCCCAGACCTCCTCCGTGTGCGCGGGTGACTCTTCACCAAGATCCTTCAGGCCGCGCAGTCCCTAAGGCCCAGTGGGCCTGGGCCTCTTCATCAGGGGCCGCAGGCCGGGTCGCCTCCCCTTCATCTCCCTGTGGCCCTCAACTACCTGCCGTGGGCTCCGGGATCTTCCTCCTCCGCTGGCGCTGCACGCGCCTCCCAGCTCTGTTCGCGATGCCGGCCGGCACTCTTGGCCTCTTCCCCTTGCCCTCGGCCCCTTATCTGACCACGTCACCCTCCTTCAGTCACCATGTCCGAACTTCCGGACCCCCTCAGAACACAGAGCACTTCAACTCTCCAGTCGGAAATCGGGGCAAGGGGCCTGTTTGGGGGCCGACTGGTCGGAACCTGCGACCCAGTTCTCGCCGCGCCGTGTCCCCTCCCGGTGCGTACCCGACGCTGCGCTCAGCCTGGGCCCAGTTGCCCGGCGCTGCCAGACTCTCAATGAGCCGCTCGCCCGCTCTATTGTTACTCCTTAGGGCTCCATTAGACAGAATTGGACAACAATGTGGCGCCTGCCATTGGCCAGGGGAGGCAGACGGCGCTCTGATTGGCCGGGCCCGCGCCCGGGGAGCCCCTCATTCTACAGTGTCCGAAAGATTCGAAACTCCAAAAGCTCCACTGTGTGCCTCGGGAAAGGGAGGGGGGCGCCAGGGAAGGAGTGGAAAAAAAGTAGGCGAGGAGGAGCGTTGAAAATATCGTGACAAGAAGTTTCCGTGCGCCCGAGAGCGTGTGAATTGCCCCTAATTACCGTGTCCGGTGGTGACTCTCTACGTAGACTTGTGTAACCCCTCTGCTTCTGGGGCGCCGGCTATGCTCGCCGCTCTCACTGGCCGGGGGCGCTTGGCAAGGCCAAGCTTCCCAAGTGGCCCTGGCGACCTGGGGCGGGATGGGGGCAGGTGACAATTCAATTATCGCTGTTGTGGTGGGAGTGGAATGGGAGTGCGAAGGTGGGCAAGGGAGGGTGTGCCTGGCATAAATGCCAAGACGATTTTTCTTGCCTTTTCCCGGTTCTGTTTCGGCGTGCTCCCAAGTCCTTCGCGTTTAGGGTAGGTTCGAGGGCTGGTTTGCTTTTCCCCCTACCGCCTTTAAAGCTCAGTTCTTTCATTTTGAAAGTCCTGATACTATAGACGTCACAGAGGGTAAGTGCGTTTTATTAGGATTTTCGTTTTTAAAAGAGGAGCCTAGAGAGAAGAAATGAGGTTGCGCTTCCTGTCGGTGCCCGCGGAGAACTGCGCGCTCTGAGCTTTTTCTCAGTTCGCCCCTCATCCCGTACCTCACCCCCGTTTGGGCTTTCCTTTCCTCATTTCTCCTCATATTGGTTTCTTTTCTGTTGTGGTGGGATTATTTTTGCCATTGTTTTAAATTAGCAAACAGGTTTGTTTTTTTCTTAAATCTGTTTTAAACGAAAGTAAAAAGCAACCTCTGCGACGCCCCAGGTCCTCTTGGAAGCTGGACACCATCAGTCCGTGCGTTCTTCCCAGCAGAAGACAAGGTCGCTGCGGGGGGGGGGGACCCCCAGATCCCTGACCTTGGCCTTACTCCACCTGTGCTGACGTCATGACCCTGAGGAACAGCTGGCTCTGCAGAGGAGGTAACAGATTTCCAATTTTGTTTTCCTTCCGATGGCAACATCTGGAATAAATACTGCGGCCGTCGGGCAAGGTTGCCCTCTGTTTCTCCAGCTTTGGTTCTGTCTCTGTGGCTTTTCTGTCTTTGCCTCTAATGTTCTGTCGCTCTTATTTTTTACTTTTTTACTCTACTTTTCTCTTTCAGAGTAAAGAAAATTCGTTTAAATAATGAGAAAGTGAGCTTCCTCCTCATTTTCCCTCCCTTTCAGACCGTGTGTTTTCACTTTGATTTTTCGAACTCCAGGGCGGCGAGGGTCGGGCCCATACCGTTCCAGACACGGACATAACTGGGTGCACAGAACGGGCCCAGGGCGTCGCGGCCATGGGACGCAGCCCCTCGGGCCACACAAATCTACTGGGCCCTGCCAGCCCCTGAGTTTGAATCCCAGAGTGAGGAGGACCCTACAGGGCCCAACTGTAGACCGCGGAACCTTGCGCCAAAGGAGAGCCATGGTACGCTCCTCAGGAAGATAACAGCTCCTAGGATAACCGTGGAGAGGGTTGAGGAGGTAGTGTACAGAAGGACCATGTGCAGAACTTCCAGAAAGTTTATCAGGCCCCGTATGAACAGTCTGTGATAGCTGTAGAAATCTGTTCGCTGGCTTCCAGGAAATTTCACTGGCTAGAGCCTGAGAATGGGTTTGGGAAGAGAGGAAAGGGTCAGCTCCAGCGAGGGTCTTGAGTGCGGAGTAAGGGTAAAGGAGTGCATAGGCAACATGTTCCCCAGAAGTGCAGGACCCAGACTTCTGCCTTGGGATACCCGGAGGTCGTGCGGTGGAGTAAATCTGCGCTTTAACAGCCCTGGGTGGGGCTTGGGACAGGGAGCACCGATCTCCGCTGGATTCCGCGCCTGGGACGCCAGGTGCTTGCTTACTCCCAAGCATTTTTGGACAATTTTGGGGAAATTATTTTAAACCCCAAAAGAAAGTTTTCGAAGAGGCGGGGCGGTGTCTCAGGTATCCTTTCTCGCACTGCACTGGAGTCCAGGACAGTGCCATTTCCTCAACTCAGGGTCGGATGAACACCCGAGAGCCAAGGGACCAGAGCTCCTGTGTAGACGTGTAAGGAACTTACTTTTCTTTGGAGGTGGAAGAATCCCTAGTGCAGGCGCCTCTCTTTTCTAACTCTTTTTACTTGAGTTCACAATCCCACAGGTCCCAGACCCCTCATTTTTCCTCGCACGACCTCGAGGTTGGGGTGCTCATATGAGTGAATGTGTTACAGAGGGAGGCAGAATAAGCCTGTCTTGGGCCAAGATCATCAAGCTCACATCTCAACAGCGCAGGATGCCTCTGCCCACCTTCCCAGGCTACTTGGGAGCTAGTCCTTCCTGATTTGAGGGGCGGTTGGAAAGGGAGAGGACCGGAGCCGGTAGCCGCCATCCCTGGGAAAAGCCTGCCTCGGTTCTCTCTCTCTCTCTCTCTCTCTCTCTCTCTCTCTCT